ACTGCGGGCGCGACTCGTGACCTGGCTCGTTCGTATGCTCACGACATAAGTCATTGCTCGCGGCTGCAGCTCGCCGGTCTGTACACTGATCAAAGTTGTTGGCGACGCTCGTGTCGAGCGAACCACTGACTTGCTTCTCAGCATACGCAGCCCGGGGCTCGGCGACAGGCTCCGCGGCTAGTCCTTCAGTGCTATTCGCTGGCATTCTGACAGCCCCGCCAACAGACTCTATCGATTGGCTCATTCGCTCGTGACCAGCGTGGTGACCGTACGGCGGAGATTGCAGACGGCATTCATCGAGGCTTGGAGTCGGAGGTTTGTTAACCGTTTTGTCCACCGGGTTTGGGGCCCACTGGGAATGCTCGCCGACCGGCCCCTTCTGACAGTCATTGCTGGACGGGACCGCTCCATCCTGGGGTGTCCAGAGCCTCGGAGGGCGACCGTCCACAGAGTGAGGCTGTCCGGAGGCAGGAGGTGGTGGCAATGTCGTGAATGAGCTTCCGATCAATGCGCCGCCCTCGCCCTGGAGATCGGCCGGGACACACGAGTCGGTGTCTTCGCCGTGGAGGCCCTGCGCCTTGCAGATCATTGGCACCCATGACCTGTCGCCGAGGCCAGAGAAGGTGGCCTTTCGGGTGCCCAAGGCGGTGACCTGCCGCGGGCACGGACAGGTGTCTCGGCCAGGATCGTACAGAAGACTGCCTGTAGCGGGACACCCGACATGGTGTAGGACCACCAGGTAGTAGACCTGCGTGCTGCACAGCTCCACGTAGTCGAGGCCGTGGCCCGTGGCAAAGGAGACCACCTGCCCCTCGGCTGTTTGCTGATGGCGAATCAAGCGCGGCATCTCGCGCAGCTTTTGGTGCGCCCTCTGCAAGCGCGCGCGCAATACCGCGTCCGAAAGCCGCGCACTTGCGCCGCTTGGGCTGGTGATGATCGTCATGGCCCGGTGATACAATTCCTCGGCGATCTGCGGCCAGAGCAGGGCGCTCCTGCCCGAGGAGTGTGCGCCACAGGGTGTCTCCGGTGGAGTGTGCAGCCAACGCTCGTGGATGTAGAGGCGGTAGCGATCGGGCTGGTACGCCACATCCACGGCGTGCGTCTCGCAGCGGACGAACACTATCTGGGTACGGGCGGTGCTTGTGCTCAGCGCAAGCAAGGCGCGAAGAGTCCGCGCTACACCCTGCGCGACAGCCGTTTGGGGCACCTGGATCGCGTCCGCGTTCTGCAGACGGTGACGAAGCTCCTCCAATGGGTCCCGGAGAAGGCCATACCTGCGGAGCGCATCCCAGAGTAGGTCGGGCAATGCGCGCGGCTCCTTCTGGAGCTCCGACTGAATGAGGAACGCATCCTAAGGACGACCGGCGGGTTAGATACCGTTGCTTGGGGATGACATGATCCTGGAGATTTCCAGCAGATCCTGTCACTTACCGCGTGTTGACGGGCCTGGGAGCAAAAGAACGTGTTCTCTCGTTCTGCGCGCTGTCGCAAAAGCCCCCACAGCTTCCGTGCGGTCCGTTCCGGAACCTGCTGCCCCGCCCCTGCCACATCTGCGGAGGACGGATGCGTGAGCAAGAGCTCGAGGTACCGAGGCAGTGCCCGTGCTTCATCCTTGTGGATTGCTTCTTGCCAGATGGCGTGGATGGATTCGCGGGCCTGCAGCGGGTCCACCAACCGTTGGCGATCTCGATCCACGCGCCCGTGGGCGAGAACATAGCCGCAGTGAAAGGCGCGAGTGTCGAGGCTTTGGTGATTCACGCGGATGCCTTTGAGGTACACCTGTCCCTGATGCTCTGGGTTCAGCAATAACTCTCCCGCCGTCGTCCGAATCCGATGGACCGATGGGTGTAGATCCACCGTACGCTGCACCCAGGCGCAGAAATCCGTGTATGCCAGCCGCTGGCCTTTGGAAGTCCCGTCGATCGTCACGCAGACGTCCTCCCACACACTGGCGGTTAGCTTGGCAGCCTCTGCCGGCGGGCCGCTGGGAGCCGCCTCGCGCTTCGCCTTGGACGGGGCAATGCGGCAGTAAAAGTTGGATTTCTTGCTGCCGTTGAAGTTGAAAGTCCAGTGGCAGCCATTGGTCGAAATTCTGACATGATGACCGTGGCGGCTGAGCACGAGGGCGGCCAGCTTGAGACCCTCGCCGTGGCCGCCGGCTAGCCGGCCATCGTCGCCCGTTTTGGTGCTGTGACCGAGCTCGAGGCAGTTCTCGCCCAGAGTGGTTCCCAGGTTGGCGAATTCGGCCCTGCCCTGGAGCACATCGAACCGAATGAATCCCAGAACCGACGACGGACCAGTGATAACAGGCTCCACGGACGGAGGGCGCTCGACGACGAATGTGATCACATTCTTGTCCTTCGTCACGGAGTATTTCGGCTCGAAGTTCAGCAGGCTGATCTCGGGATGCGCCTGTAGGATGGCATCCTTCCTGTCATCGCGTCAGTCCGGTCCCTTGGCTCCCCTGCTCCTCGCCACGAAACGCACCAGTTTTGATACAGCTCGCGCAGAGCATCCGGGACTTTCCAAGCGGATGCGTAGCCGCGGGTGAGGCCCAGGGCCATGGTCCGCGGACCGGCGGGCGCGACAGGCCCAGTCTCCGGGTCAGGGTCGGCGCAACGGTCCAAAAGACAGTTGGGGACGATCGGTGGAGTATCACTGAAATCCATAGCGTTCTTAGGCTGCGTCGTTTGCACGTTGAGTTTGAATATGAGATCTACGGTTGTGACGTCGATTGCTGGTTGGCAGTGTCTTTCTGCCTGGCGATGTGCCTTAAATATGCAGTTTGCTTGCAAGATCGCAGCAGCTGCCAGAGCACTACGAACCGTAAAAAGAGGTACAAAAGAAGGGCCCGGAGAGACTGATGCGCTTTCTGCTGTGTTGTGGGCTCTGGTGCCATACTGCACCCCTTTCTTCCCTGCATTTGTGTTTGAACCCGAACACCGCGCCTGCAACAGTCACCGATTGTCCGCTGAGGGTCAAATTTGCTGACGATATATTTTGAATTGCTAGTATCTGCGCCAAAGCATGAACTCCCCTAGAAAGGATCGGGTATGCAGATCGAGCAGCCCGCTCATTTTTGCGGTCTCCCAGAAACCAGGGACTTGTTCTTGTGCGTGGGTGCAGCCGAAGGCACCGCCGCCGACATGAGAAACCCCGGTCGGCGCCGATCCGGATGAAACCAGCCTTGTCTGTACTGATCAGGCCTTCTGAGTTCCTAGACTCGTTATTATTCGTGATGCCCCAATGATCACTTGCCAGATAAAGCACGGCCTTGACCTATCTACTACAGATATTCCACGACCAGTCCACTGCCAAACTCCCTTTCCACCGAGCTGTGCACGACATTCAGAGACCCCGTGCCCCATTGACGATTCGTTCGGAAGCGTTGATTGTCTCTTCTCATGCAGATGTGTGACCCACCGACCGCGACTCCTTTGTGCTCGCCGCCCGTTTCGTTGGGTGAGGTGAGTTACCCGAATTCCTTTGCGCACATCTGGGCTCTGACGCCAGACAGGAGGAGACATTGCGCTCCTTTGCCAGGCTGGCGGGGACGTGCCAGGAGGTCTTGGATGCCTATGGACGCCAGGCCCGTGAATTTCGCGCCGCTAAGCAGGATTTGCAGCGGGTCCAGGATGAGTTGACGTCCGTAAAGGGCGTTTCTGACATCCTTTTTACTCTGGTCGAAAACTTGTGGGCCCTGGTCTGCGCCTGTCGGGATGGGAATGACGAGCTGCTGTCGCAGACCACGCTTGAGGTAGTTTTAGATGCGACAATAGGGCGCTTAGACAGCCAGAGCCTGCGGGAAGCACAGGAGACGCTTCGTCGCGAAAACCAGCAGCTACGCGACCTTCTTCTGGCAGCTACGGGTTAAGCAGAGTTAGAGAAGGGGCGGATGTGCAGTCATACCACCTCTTTGTTTTTCAGCTAGGCTCCCATCCCGCATACAATAGGACATTGTGAATATTTCTCGAAGGGTCTGCTGCGAGCAGCTTTCCAGCATGCTTGAGTATTCTGCCATTTCACAGGGAGATTCCGTGCTATGCCATACTGTAGTTGCGTAATGCTTAATACAGTATTATACAGTATATCTACCTCGGTTATATAAATCAAACAGTCTTACTGACTGTATGCCTGGACTCTGCGGCACGTGTGACTTCAATTTGGATAACGGGGAATTTCTACATGCCAGTAAAGGGTGGGACATCGAGCGCCCTCTCTCCGGAACGCCTGCTGTTCCTCCCGTTGCGTGGATATGAAGGTGCCACATAACTCTGATACGCAAAAGGGCGCTGCCCCGGTGGTGACTTACTGAGGGCGGCATCGACCGACGCCGGATCCTTGTCCTGGCTCT